GTGTGCTCAACTATGTTCATAGCAGCTTTGTTTGTCATAGCCAGAACCTGGAAACAACCCAAATGCCCCTTGACCGAATAATGGCTAAGGAAAATGTGGTACATTTACACAATGGAGTACTACACAGCAGAAAAAAATAACGGCAGCTTGAATTTTGCAGGAAAATGGATGGAGCTAGAAAACATTATTTTGAGTGAGGTAACCCAGACACAGAAAGACAATTACCACATGTACTCACTCATAGGTGGTTTTTAAACATAAAGCAAAGAAAGCCAGCCTACAAACCACAATCCCTGAGAATTTAGACAACAATGCGGACACTAAGAGAGACGTACATGGATCTAGTCTACATGGGAAGTAGAAAGTATAAAAAGACAAGATCTCCTGAGTAAATTGGGAGCATGGGGACCTTGGGGGGAGGACTGAAGGGGGGGAGAGGCAGGGAGGGGAGCAGAGAAAAATGTAGAGCTCAATAAATATCAATAAAATAAAAAAAAGTCCCCAATAAGGAGCTGAAGAGATGACTCGGTGGTGAAGGGCACTGGTTGCTCTTCCAGAAGACCTGGGTTTGGTTCTCAGCAACCCAATGGCAACTCACAACTAAAACACCCATGCAAATAAAATCAAATAGTAAATTAGAAAGTTTTTGGAAAGTCTTAGGTGATGCCTATGGGACAGAAGATGGAAAATACTCCCTGCTTAGAGCATTCTTCCTCCACTGGCTCCCTTCTACCTAGCTCCTGACCTCCTCAATTTTCAGAAACCACCACTTCCAGGAAGCTTTCCTTAGTACCCACGGCTAGGCTTGAGGCAGCTCTGGACTGTGTCCTGCGCTGCTGGTTTCCATAGGACTGGAGAGCTCCACGAGAGAATTCTCTTATTTGTTTTGTCTTGCGTTTATTTCTGATGTGTTTAGTCATGAGACAGGGTCGCCTCGAACTCTCAACCCTCTCGTCTCTACCTCTGAGTGCACACCGTGCAGGCAGGTTAGAGCTCGCCCTGTGTTTGCTATGGTTCCCTAGCCCCTAGGACTCAGCGTGGCACTTGGAGTGGTTTGCTGCCTTCTCTGGGCCTCTCCCTACCAGAGAAAGGCCCCTGACATGGTGGGTGTGGTCCCTTGCAGTCATTTCACCCAGTTGGCCTGGGAAAGAAGCCTGGATCCAGCTTGGGAAACAGGGCCCCTCCTTCCATTTCTCCATGTGACTTCTCCTCAGGCAGGTACCTGTGACTACCAGAATCCTACTCCTGCTTGGTGAGGTTCGGAAGCTGACAGAGGGAGGCTGTGTGGGCAGGTGCAGAGCAGAGGTCCTCAAAGAAGGCAGAATCCCTTCTGCTTGGAAGATTACCATGTCCTGAGGGAATAGGGCAACATGGGGTGGGGGACAGGAAGTGCAGGGCAGGGAAGAAGGGGGAGGCTAGACTGGGAATATTCAGGCAAGACATTAAACCTGGTCTTGAGCTTTGCCTGTTTTCAGGGGTCAGCTTCTTCCGTGAGAGAGGCAGGGGTCAGGCCAGCTTGGACAGCAGTCACGCGAAAGAAACCCTCTTTATTGGGAAGGTTTCATTTTCTGCCTTGGTGGAAGGCAGGAAGGGGAAGGGTGGGTGTGTATGGAGCAGGCCCCAGAGACCCAACACCCAGAGTTGGAGGCTTTTTTTGGGGCGGGGGGTGCCAGAGACAGGGTTTCTCTATGTAGCTCCGGCTGTCCTAGAACTCGCTCTGGAGACCAGGCTGGCCTCAAACTCAGAAATCTGCCTGTCTCTGCCTCCCAAGTGCTGGGATTCCAGCACTGTCCAGGGAGAGTTGAGGGTTTTTCTAGACTTATATCTACCAGACTTCCAGGCCCCCTCCAGGAAGCAGAATGCTTGAGGAACTGGACAAGACCTCCCGTACCTGCCTCTATTGTCCTACAGAGCAGCAGGTGGCCAGTGACATGGAGTGAGGCTAAGGACTCCCAGCTGACCTTATGGCCTCCTCTACCCTTACTGCTTTGCCTGGGGCTAAGTCTTCCTCAGTCTTTAGCAGAGGAGTCTGTTAGTCTCTCACCTGGGCAGTCTGGAGCCAGAGCAGGCTGTTAGCCTGGAGTGTGGAGCCGGAGGACTGTGAGCAACCAAAAGACAAACCTTCTCCTTCCCCTCCTGTCCTCTCCACCTCCCCGCTGCTGCCCACCGAACTAACTTCCTCTCTGTCCAGGAAATAGGTCTGTTTGAGCCTAAGCCCAAGAGCCTAAGGGAGGGGGCAGGGAAGGGTTTGCCTCTGTGCAGTTGCTCTGCTCCCATTCCTTTCATCGGCCTCCCCAATCACCTTGCCAGATAGTTTCTATCTTCCATAGGAGAAAGCCTGGACTCAAGAATCGTAGCCTTAGCCAGGCAGTGGTGGCGCAAGCCTTTAATCCCAGCAGAGGCAGAGGCAGGAGGATCTCTGTGAGTTCGAGACCAGCCTGGTCTACAAGAGCTAGTTCCAGGACAGGCTCCAAAGCTACAGAGAAAACCTGTCTAGAAAAAAACAAAAACAAACAAAAAAAACAACAACAAAAAAAAGAAAAAGAAAAAGAAAAAAGAGATGAAAAAGAATTGTAGCTTGGTCATTCTAAACTAATTCACATGGTTGACTCTCACTCCAAGGTTCTGTTGGCATTAGCCAAAGGCAGTCTCCTTCAAGAGCCCTGCAGTGGTGATGCTCACCTCTTTTCCAGAACTCTGGAGGTTGAGGCAGGGGGATGTTGAGGCAGGGGGATGTTGAGGCAGGGGGATGTTGAGGCAGGGGGATACTGAGCTCAAGGCCAACCTGTGCTGCAAAGTCCTCCGTCCTCAGGTCTTGGAGTCTTATAGGTTGCCCAGGTTCAATCAGAGTGCACAGAGATCAGGCTGGCCAGACCCTGTCCAACGTGCAGGTTACTTCACTTGCTGGAGAGCCAGATGCACTCTGCCTTAGAGGGACCTTTGCCCATAGGTGGTGAGGGCCCGGCCTTGAATGTAGATTTCATTATGATTCTAGCCCTGGTGTCTCCTGTTTGTCTGATGCTTCTGGCCTCTGTAAAATGGTTTTTTTTCTGGAAAGAATAGCTCAGGAGGGGGATGAGCTGTGAGATCTGAACCCACAAAGTTCTCACCATTTCAGTGGGGAACCCAGACAAGTGACCCTACCCAGCCACACACCCTAAAAGACTTTTGCACACTGATTACATACTCAGCTTTCCATGTGACCAGCCTCCTTTCTTCAAACCTACATCCTTCCCTTCCCCAGCCGCTGCAGCTCCATCCTCCCCTTTCTCCCTCCCACCCCCACTTTCCCCACCCCAGAACAAAAGGGACATTTGACATTCTTTGTCCGGTGCAGTTTATTCCCTGAGTCTTGGGACCTACCAGGCCCACAGCTGGGACCAGCTACCTTCCCCAGTTCTAGCCCAGTTCTCCAGGGATGCCTTCCAGGGGAGAGGAAGGGAGGGGCCTTAAAGGAGCAGGGCCTTCTTTCGGAACCTTTCTTTCCCGAACCTTCTTTCGGGAAGGAAAGGGGGAGGGCATAAGGTGTCCTGAGGAGACCGTAGTCATGTGACCTGGCTGAGCTTGGGCTGGGGGCTACTCTGGAACTAGCACAGGCTCTCCAGGCTCCTAGCCAGGAGCATGTCATTCATTCATCGGGATCTCAGGATTGGTTTTTGTTTTGATGTGTTTCCTGTTTGTTCATTTGTTTTTCTCATTTTGTTTTGTTATGGTTCGTTTATATATTTTGAGATAGTGTCACTCTACGTAGCCCAAGCTGGCCTGAAATTCTTGATCCTCCTGTCTCAACCTGCAGAAACTGGTCCCCACTGTGCCCTCTTCTGCTGTGTGATCCGAGGAAATTCCTTTCTCACTCTGGGCCTCAACTCTCTTGTGTTACATGAAGGGGGAGGAGAGCATGTCCCAGAAGACGTTTCTGAGGCAGGCCCTGGATAGGTGCATGGCAGGGGGACAGGTCAGCTCCCCGAGTCCAGTCCTCAGAGTCGTCAGGACAGGACAGGGGGTTTCACTGTGGTGACCTTTCCACTGCAGTAGAAGCCCAAACTGGGACCCCCAAACCAACGGAGAGCAGGTCTTTGTATTTTCTCCTGATGTGGTCTTCTAGAACACACAAAGTTCCTTCACCTCTGTCTCCTCCCATTATTAGCATCCGTGTGCGTATGTGTGTGCATGCGTGCGTGCGTGTGTGTGTGCGCATGCGTGTGTGCATGTATGGCGTGTATGTGTGTGTGTATGTGTGCATGTATGGGCGTGTGTGTGCGTGTGGTGTGTGTGTGCGTACGTACGTGTGTGGTGTGTGTGTGCGTGTGTACGTGTGTGTGTGTGTGTGTGTGTGCCTGTGTGTCCATGGGTCTGGAGGCTAGAGGTAAACTTTAGATGTTGTTTCTCAGGAACTGTCCACACTGGGCTTTTGTTTGTTCATTTTGGTTTTCAAGACTAGGTCTCACTGTATAGTTTTTACTATGTAGACCAGGCTGGCATGGAACTCACAGAGATCCACCTGCCGCTGCCTCTCCAGCTCTGGGATTCAAGGTGTGTGCCACCATGTCCATACCTTTATTATTCTTTTAATTTAAAAATGTGTGTTAGCTGGGCAGTGGTGGCGCATGCCTTTAACCCCAGCATTCGGGAGGCAGAGACAGGCAGATCTCTGTGAGTTCAAGGCCAAGGTGGTCGACAGAGCTAGTTCCAGGACAGACTCTAAAGCTATACAGAGAAATCACCAGCCCCAGTCTCCAACTAAGGGGACCAGCCAAGACCTCGGTGACCCACCACAGCCCCCTGTGGGATCAGCCTTGGGTCTCACCCACCTTTATGAATGATAACACCCCATCTTGAAAGCTAAAAAGTGTTATTAGCACGTTTGAGTATGTGTATATGTTTACTAACACATGTGCAAGATGTTTGTGTGAGGGTCCAAGTTCATGGGGAGGTCAGAGGACAACATCATGGAACTGGTTCTCTCCTTTTTCCTTTAATGTAGGCTGGGGCGGCTGGGGCGGCTGGGGCGGCTGGGGCGTTGAACTCCATGCTTGCCCTGCAGGTGCCTTTGCTCTCAAACTCTCTTGCTAGCCCAGTGTTTCTGAGAAAAGAACTCCTGGGTCCTAGGAGGGGTATGTCTGGGACCTGAGGGAGGCCTGTGGGATGACAAAGGTGGTACCTGGTCGCCAGGATCACACAGGCCATGGGGACAAAGAGCAAAGCAGAAACCTTGACTCTGCTGTAGCTTAGTTTGGCTGAAGTCTAGGGTTTGTTTCAGGGGAGAAGAGGAAGCTGGGGGCTCAGCAGCTGGCTAAGGAGCCTGTCGTGTGGGTACAGAAGCACCCGGGGGCTCATTGCGTGCCAGGCAGGGTTTATCCACTATGGTTGCCGCACAGAGGAAACGAAGACGGAGAAAGAGCATGGCAGCAGGGACAGCGGTCCACACAGGTACTTTCCGACAAAGGGACTTGTGGGGGAAGGGCGGAGCAGGGGCTCACCGTGTTGCTGAGCAAGTCCTCCAGGGAAAGAGGGGAAGTGAGCGGGGAGATGGAGCAGGGAGAGGAAATGGAAGATTAAGTGCAGAAGGGCCATAAAGCTCAGGGCAGGCTCAGCCGGATGGAGTCCCGGTTTATAGATACATTTTTCTGTTCAGGGATGCCCTGCCAGGCCTGATGGCCGAGCAGGAGCAGTCACCCGACAAGGCAGGGGGACACTAGGTGGGAAGGGACCTTTTAAGCATCGGGATCCTCTCTTGCCACCCCCTCCACCTATCCCCAGGCCTCTGCCTGGCTGACAGCCCAGCTGGAAGCAATTGTAGGCGCCCCCCCCCTCCCCAGCCTAGAACACTGCATCCCACAAGTGGCCCTGGTAAATAGCAGCCCACACCCTAGACAGCCTGCAGCACCCCTCCCCTGCCCCCTTGCAGCCCCCTGCCCGGAAATTTAAAACAACTGCTCAACACAGTCTTAAATCCTTCAGGAAGGGGCTTGGGTTGACAGAATGAGAGTTTGAGGCTAGCCTAGGTGCTGCCTGGAGATCCCAGGGCCCCCCAGCACTCCCTGAGCTGCCATGAAATACCTACTCCTTCCTGAGCACAGGATGGCCTGTTCCTCCGACTGTCCTGGCATGGGGGCTGCCAGGGAGCAATATATACTGTGTAGAGGAAGAATCAACAAACAAACCTGTCATGTGACCCTGAGCCATCAGGATGCTTTGGGGGCTTGAATTTACTCATCTACCAAACAGGCGTGCCTTTTACCTAGTCTCTCCGTGTTATGTAAGAACATGTGTGCAAGTGGGGTTGTGAGCATAGGCCAGGTGGTGACATCTGTAGAATACATGGACCCTGGGTCCAGCATCGTAGGGAAATCAGGTTTTGCGCACCTCCAACCCCAGCCTTTCGAAGGTGAAAGCAAGAGGACCAGAACCTCCTGATGATGCTCAGCTACATGGTCAACCCCTGGCCAGCCTGAACTACAGGGATCCTGTCCCCAGTGTTAGCAAGGCGATCAACAAGTAAAAGTACTGGCTGTCAAGCCTGACAACCGAGTTTAAGCCTGCGACCCACAGGCAGGAAGGTAAGAACTTACTCCCACAAGTTGTTGTGTGTTCTGACCTTCATACGGGTGTTATGCAACCCTCACTCCCACCACTACTACATGTAAATGTTATAAAACGTTATTTACTTATTTTATCATTATTATTAGTAGTAGTTTGGTTTTTTGAGACAGGGTTTCAATGTATTACCTCTAATTGTCCTGGAGCTCACTTGTTAGACTAGGCTGGTCCCGAACTCAGAGATCTGCCTACCCTGTCTCATGAGTGCTGGGATTAAAGGCGTGTGCTACTACAACCTCTCGACTGAAAAAAAGTTTTTGAAAGACTCTATCTCAAAACAAGAAGAAAAGGGAGAAGGAGAAAGAGAAAGAGAAAAAAAGACTTCTGCCCAAAGGGAGCGTAGTGGGACAGTCATGGACAGATATGTGGCCAATACATGATTTTGCATGACACAGCCTGCCTATGTACCGGGCTCACTCCCGCCGCCCATTCTCCTGGGGTTGCTTCGGCTTCCCCTGGGAAGTCTGAGGAAGGAATACAGCCAGTCCCTACACCAGATGGGTCTCCAGCAGCCTTACAAGGCCGCAGGCAAGCCTCGGACAGATCTCAACCTAAATCCCCTGCCCTGCCCCGCCCCCACACTGGGACAGACCTCAGCCAGCAGGCCTCCCAGCTTTGATCAATACAGGGCAGGCAGCCAAGGAGGCTGCAGGCTTCATCCTCCCTGGAGGCCCCAGCTCAGCCAGGGTCACAGTGGGGAGGGGCTGACGCCCAACTCGGGGGCTGGGGGCAGGGTAGGGGGAATAGAAAAGGCGAGCCTCACCCACAGTCACTCACAGTCCACAAACAGTGAGCACCAGCTATGTACCCAGCTCTGTCACCAGCATTAGTGACAGACAGCACAGGGGGCAGCTCTCAGGAAACACATGAAGAAGAGAGGAAATGCATGAACCAAACAACAAAAGGGGAAGTTTCAGAAGGGTGGCAAAAGCTAGGCAAGGTGCTGCATACCTGTAGTCCCCGATTTGGCAAGATCTGTCAGCCAGGCAGAGGACTGGGGATAGGTGGAGGGGGTGGCAAGAGAGGACCTGCGCTGCGGCATCATGAGTTCAAACCCAGCCTGAGCTATGAAGCATAAACTGTCTCAACAAATATATACATAAATATTACTTTTTTATTTTTTAATACTATTTATTTAAAATGTATTTATGTATATATTTATTTGAGACAGGGTCTCTCTATGTATTCCTGGCTATCTTGGAAATCTCTATGTAGAGCAGGCTGGTCTCTAACTCACAGAGATCTGCCTGTCTCTGCCTCCTGAAGTGCTGGGATTAAAGTTATGTATCCCCATGCCCAGATGAATAGATTTTTTAATGAATAAATGCAGAATTACTAAAATAAAAAAGAGAAGGATGGGGCTAAGGAAATGGCTTAATGTGTAAGATCACTTGCTGTGTACCCTTAGCACCCACATAAAAAGCCAGGGTGCCAGTTGGTGGTGGCAGAAGGATCTCTGAGTTCAAGGCCAGCCTGAGCTACATAGTGAGTTCCAAGACAGACAGGGAAACCCTGTCATAGGGGAGGGGAAGGGGGGAACAGGAATAACCATGCGTGTCTGTAAACCCAGAGCTTCAAGGGACAGAGACAAAGGACCACTGGGACTTGCTAGTCACCTGCCTAGATCCAGAGTCAATGTCTCATGAAAAGGAGATACACAATGATAGAGCAGGACACTTAGCATCTTCCTCTGGCCTCTGTACTGTACACACCACATACATCACATCACACACACACACACACACACACACACACACACACACAGAAAGGGTCCTCGGGTGACTGGAGAAACATTGTTTATGGCAGAGACAATGATGCTGGCACTGTGCTGAGGACAGGGACACCTAGGACGCTGGAACTGGTCAGGACATTCATTTAGAGCACTGGGGACTCCTGTGGCTGAGTCACAGTGGGAAGAATTTCTGTTAAGGGAAAAGGTAGACTGGGTAGCAGGCACCATAGAACCTTCGCTGGCTCCCACAGGCACCGGAGCTGGAAGTGCCCTCCAGGAGAGCCTTGCTTTGTCCCTGCTTGAGGCCACAGGCTGGGGGATTTGAACGGCTCTGAACAGCCATGGACTTGGCACCCAGGAAGGGGCCAGCTGTCAGCTGTCTGTTGAGGGACAGTCATGACACCTGTTGCTAGCAGTGTTCTCTGCCACCGGAGGAACGAGAGCCTCACCCCAAAAGGTAGATTTGGGTGACACACTGCGGGATCTGCTCACTACGCACTCACAGTCTGACATTTCCAGAGAGTGTGTTCCAGAAGAGGGGACACTTCCAAAGCACAAACCTGAGGCAGAAATCTGCTTAATTGGGGGAGGCACAGCAAGAAGCCAGTGCTGGGCACACTGAGTGAGGGGCACCAGAGAGGTGGGCAGAGCCCACCCAGAGGAACTTCCTGTTGAGAGCCTGAGGAGAGCGATCTGCTGATTACCTCATGGGGAAAGACCCTGGGTGGAGACTCCGGGCAGGGCATGCTGAGGGTGTGGACAGCCATGACTTAGGACTTAAGGCATGAGTGCTGGGCTTGAGGGGCCTGGGAAGTTCTCAGAGCCCAGGGAGAGGCTCTTGACAGGCTGTGGACTACCGCAGTCTAGTGCAAAGATGTTTCTAGCCTCCCATGGGGTGTTAGCTTCTTTTTCTGCGCTTGGAAGATTCTAGCATGTTGTGGGCTAGAGAAGAAACCTCACGCTATTTCTTTTCCTTAAGGTGGGCAGCAATCTCATTTCTAAACCTTGGTGACAGGTAGACACTCAGTTCCTGGGTGCCCCAAGGGAAGGAGCCCTCCCGGTTTTGATCTCTCTTCTGGAAAGTTCCCAGAGCTGCCTCCTTGGAGCTGCCTCCAGGGTCCCCTGCTTTACTCCACCCTGAAGACATCTGTTCTGCTCTCTGTCAGCCCCACAAGACTGATCACGTGGGTCCTAGCGCCCTCCCCACCCCCACACCTGTGAGTTATTACTGAGTCTCCATCCAAGGGAGCATGGGCTCTCACAGCCAAGTGATGGAGAAAGCTGACAACGAAAAGATTGAGGGTGCTGACGGTGGGTGCCAGTTTGCCAGCAGGAAATGGGCAGCCGCCGAAAGGGCTCCTCCAAGAGTTTAACAGAAGTCTGGCAGTTACCCCCCCCCCCCGATTCTTGGGCTCTGCATTTCAGATGTAGCCAATCACAGAGCAAAATGGACAGAAAGTGTCAGGACATAGAGTTTAGGTCACTCAGTTAGTAGAGTGCTTGTCCGGCAAGCATAAAGCCCTGGGTTGGATTCCCAGCACTGCATAAAACTGGGCATACTGGTATCCGTATTCATAGCACTTAGGAGGTAGAGGCAGGGGGATTGGAAACTTCAGGCCAGCATGGGCTACATATCTCAAAAACCAAAAGAGATCCTTTGTGATTATTCTCTAGATGACAGTATTTCTACAGCATTTCATAGTATTGGAATCTTAAGATGACAAAGTCACACAAAAGGATGTGACAGGCCATATGTAAACAAGGGACTTGAACCTCTGTGGATCTGCCTGGGGTACTAGAAACAATCCCCCGTGGATACCAATGGACCACTGTCCTTAACATAGATGAAGAGGATTAGAAAACTTACAGGGGGGGCTGGAGAGATGGCTCAGTGGTTAAGAGCATTGCCTGTTCTTCCAAAGGTCCTGAGTTCAAATCCCAGTAACCACATGGTGGCTCACAACCATCTGTAATGAGGTCTGGTGCCCTCTTCTGGCCTGCAGACAGAATATTGTATACATAATAAAGAAAGAAAGAAAGAAAGAAAGAAAGAAAGAAAGAAAGAAAGAAAGAAAGAAAGAAAGAAAGCTAGCTTACAGGGAATGCTGGGATACCTGGGATCAGCCTAAGAGGGGAGCCTTACCTCTACAGTTCTGACTGGGTGACCATGGGAGTGGGCCACCCGACAGAGCCTTGACCCCAGAGGAGAGGAATGGATTTCTCTCTCCTGCTGGGGCCTCCCATGAGTTGAACCAGAGGCCAGATTTCCTAGGTCCACAGAAATCAGACTTCTGGGGTGCGGAGCTGGACTAACGTTGGTCAGAAGCAGGTCATGGGTAGGGGAATTGAGAACATCCAGCCGAGAGGTAGGCGGTACACCTGTCCTCTCAATGTCCATGAGCCGTGGCGCTGTGGAACTAGAGAACAATGATGGCCACATGGCCCTGGAGTTCTAAGAGCATAGAAAGAGTTAACAAAGGGCTTGGGAAGAGCCCATAAGGCACTAGCACAGGTCAGAAGGTGGGAAAGGGAGCCAGTAAGGCAGCTCAGAGGGTAAGGCACTTCTGCTAAGTCTGATGATCTGAATTTAATCCCTAGGACCCACAGGGTGGAGGAAGAGAACAGACTCCTGCAAGTTGTTCTATGACCTCTGTAAGTGTACTGTGGCATGCACACACATACTGCACAAATAATAAACAAATAAATAAAAATTAAAAAAAAAAACTCCTGTCATAGTGGCACATGCCTTTGATTCCAGCACTCCGAAGGTGGTGGCAGGAGGATCTCTGTAAGTTTGAGGCCAGCCTGATTTACATAGAGAGCTCCAGGACAGCCATGTTGAGAGACCTGGCCTCAAAAAGAAAGAAAAAGAGGCCAAAAGATGGTGGTGCATGCTTTTAATCCCAGCACCTAGGAGGTAGAGGCAGGCGGATCTCTGTGAGTTCAAAGCCAGCCTGGTTTGTTTGTTTTTGTTTTTCCTTTTTCCTTTTCTTTTCTTTTTTTTTTCTTTTCTTTTCTTTTTTTTTCCAGACACGGTTTCTCTGTGTAGTCTTGGCTGTCCTGGAATTAGCTCTGTAGACCAGATTGGCCTCAAACTCAAAGAGATCTGTCTGCTTCTACGTCAGGAAGTGCTAGGCTTATAGACAGATATGGGCCCTTTGATTGTTTATTTGTATTTTGAGACAGGGTTTCTCTGTGTAACAGCCCTAGCTGTCCTGGAACTAGCTCTTGTAGACCAGGCCGGCCTCGAATTCACAGAGATCTGCCTATCTCTGCCTCCTGAGTGCTGGGATTAAAGAGGTGTGCCACCACCGACTGCCTCTTTTTTTTTTTTTTTTTTAATTTTTAACATTTTCTTTAGTGATTGATGGGGGAGGGCCCAGTACAGTGTGGGTGGGTCTATCCCTGGGTTGGGGGGTCCTGGGTTCTTTTGTTTTGTTCTGTTTTTCAAGATAGGGTTTCTCTGTAGTTTTGGAGCCTGTCCTAGAACTAGCTCTGTAGACCAGGCTGGCCTTGAACTCACAGAGATCCACCCACCTCTGCCTCCCAAGTATTGGAATTAAAGGCAAGTGCAGCTCTTCTTGAGCCTGGGTTCTAAAAGAAAGCAGGTTGAACAAGCTAAGGAAGCAGCCAGTAAGTAGCATCCCTCTATGGCTTCTGCATCAGCTCCTGCCTCCAGTTTCCTGTCCTGTTTGAGTTCCTGTCCTGGTTCCCATCAATGATAGATGACAATGTGGAAGTGTAAGCTCAATAAATCCTTTTTTCCCCAGCTGGCTTTTGGTCCTGGTATTTCATCAAGGCAATACAAACCCTAACTAAGACACAAGATATAGATTCCCTTAGCTGTTTATCTATTATGGGCTTTTTGAACTAGCATCTTTTTTTAAAAATATTTATTTATTTATTATGTATACGATATTCTGTCTGTGTGTATGTCTGCACCAGACCCCATTACAGATGGTTGTGAGCCCACCATGTGGTTGCCGGGAAATTGAACTTAGGACCTTTGGAAGAGCAGGCAATGCTCTTAACCACTGAGCCATCTCCCCAGCCCCTTGAACTAGCATCTTAATATCTTGCTGTGTTACTTACATTCACCTTAAAATTGGTGACCTGCCTGCTTTTATTTTCTGAGTGCTTAGATTTCCTAAATCTTTTAAACATTTTTTTTTTTAGACAAGATTTCTTTGTGTAGCCCTGGCTGTCCTAGTACTAACAGGCTCTGTGGATCAGGATTGGCTCCCAACTCACAGAGATTCACCTGCCTCTAGGATTTTGTTTTGTTTTGTTTTGTTCTGTTTTTCGAGACAGGGTTTCTCTGTGGCTTTGGAGCCTGTCCTGGAACTAGCTCTTGTAGACCAGGCTGGCCTCGAACTCACAAAGATCTGCCTGCCTCTGCCTCCCGAGTGCTGGGATTAAAGGCATGTTAAACCACCACCTGGCTGCCTCTAGGATTAAAGCATGCCCCACCACTGCTCAGCTTAAACATTTTCTTTTTAACTTACTGTATTTTTAAATTGTGTGTATGGATGTATGTACACCTGTGTGCCAGAGGCTTTAGATTCTCTAGAGAAGGAGTTAAGAGCAGTTGTGAACCACTTGATGTGGGTCTTAGGAGTTGAACCAGGGTTCTCTGGAAGTGCAAGCAGTGCATGTTCCTAACCACTGAGCCACCTCTCCAGCTCCAGATTTCCTAAATCTAAAGAGTACCCCCTGAATTATAATCTACCACCGTAGACAGATTTATCTTTGGGCTGCCAGCTCACAAATAATGATGTAGAGACTCCTTATTAATTATGAAAGCTCAGCCTTAGCTTAGGCTTGTCCCACTAGCTCTTATAACTTGAATTAACCCATTTATTTTAATCTACATTCTGTTAAGTGGCTTATTACCATATCTCACCATACTGCCCTCGCTGCTCCCTTCGAGTCTGGCTGACGACGGCCTTTCTTCTTCCCAGAGTCCTCACTGTCCCTGGAAGTCCCGCCTAGCTTCTTTCTGCCTAGCTATTCAGCTCTTTATTAAATCAACCACAGCAATATATCTTCACACGGTGTACAAATATCCTACAGCTACCACTTACATAGAAATCCAGAACATAGGGGTTATTGAGATGGCCCAACAAGGTAAAGCAATTGCTACCTAACCTGACATCCTGAGTATCTCAATTCCCCGACATGACTGAAGGAGAGAATGGTTTCCTACACACACACACACACACACACACACACACACACACACACACAGCAGTGGTGATGCACACCTATAATCCCAGCACTCAGGAAGCAGAGACAGATGTATCTCTAAGTTCAAAACCAGCCTGGTCTACAGAGTAAGTTCCAGGACAGCCAGGGCTACACAGAGAAAACTTATCTCGAAAAACCAAAACCAAATAAATGTAATTAGTTTTAATTTTAAAAACTTGAAGCTGGGTAGTGATGGTTCAAGCCTTTAATCCAGTACTCAGAAGGCAGAGGCAGGCAGATCTCTGTGAGTTCGAGGATAGCCTGGCCTACAGAGAGTTCCAGGACAACCAGAACTGTTACACATAGAGCAGCCTGTCTTGAAAACAAACAAACACACAAAACAAGCTGGGCAGTGGTGGCATAAGCCTTTGATTCCAGCATTCAGGAGGTAGAGGCAGGCGGATCTATGTGAGTTTAGGGCCAGCCTGGTCTACAGAGCAAGTCCCAAGACAGGCTCCAAAGCTACACAGAGAAACCCTGTCTCCAAGAAAAACAAAACAAAACAAAAACCCAACCAAATAAAAAATCACTTCAACATTTTCCAGTGTCCAGAACAGTCTTCCGTACTCACGTAGCCACAGCTCAGTAGAGTAACCAGGGTCACAGAAGTGCTAGGCACACATTCTACACTGAGCTACAACCTCAGTGTTTCCTTCCTCCCTCCCTTTCAGTTTTGGAAATCAGACCTTCCCAGGCTGGGAACTAACAGAGCTCCTGACCTACTCAGCTTCCCAAGTGTGAGATTGCAGGTGTACACTGTCACATTGAGCTTAGTGCCTTTTCTTTTGTGTATGTGTGTGTGTGTGTGTGTGTGTGTGGTGTAGAAGAGTGTGGGGAAGTAGGAATGTATATGTGTGTGTATGTGTGTGGTATAGGAGTATGGGGGGTATAGGAGTGTGTGTGGTTTAGGAGTGTTTGGGGGTGTGTATGTGTGGAGGGGTATATGAGTAGAGGGGTGTATGAGTGTGTGGGGCTATAGGAGTGTGTGTGTATAAGTGTGTGTTTGTGTATGCGTGTGTGACCCTTTTCCCACCAGGGAATCACAGAGGCCTTCTCCAAATATGTGTGTCTGTTTCTAGAGTCTGTTCTATGTGTTACTGATCCATTTGTCCACCCTGTGCTTCTGAAGTTCATTACTATATATAAAACTGAGATTTTATAATGAAAAATAAGGGGGTTTTTTTTGGTTGTTTTTTTTGTTTGTTTGTTTTGTTCTTTGAGACAGGGTTTCTTGGAGACCAGGTTCGTCTGGAACTCTATGTAGCTGAAGATGACCCTGTGCTCTCAGTCCTTCTCCTCTACAGTCCAAGTGTTGGAATTACAGGCAAGTACCACCATGCCTGCTTTACGAGGTGCTGCAGTTGGAGTCCCTGGCTACATGCTAGCCAAGCTCTTACCAGCTGAGCCACATCCCCAGCTGCCTACTTCCTTACTGTTTTTCTTTCTATCATTCCTCTACTTTTCTGGTTTTTTTGTTTGTTTGTTTTTTGAGACAGGGTTTTGCTGTAGTTTTTGAGTCTGTCCTGGAATTAGCTCTTGTAGACCAGGTTGACCTCTAACTCACAAGAGATCCACTTGCCTCTGCCTCCCGCGTGCCTGAGTGCTGGGTGGGATTAAGGCATGTGTCACCACCACCCATCCGTTTCTCTCCTTTCCTCTTTCCTCTCCTTCCTTCCTTCCTTCCTTCCTTCCTTCCTTCCTTTCTTTCTTTCTTTCTTTCTTTCTTTCTTTCTTTCTTTCTTTCTTTCTTTTTTGAGCTAGGATCTCACTATGTAGCCAGGCTGGCCTTAAACTTGTGATCCATCTCCTCAGCCTTTTTAGTTTTGGGGTTCTAGGCCTGGGCCACTGTGCCCATTACAATGAATCATCACACAGTGATGTGGGAGTCTTCTGTTTTGTGTTGATTTCATTGGTTAAATAAAGAAACTGCCTTGGCCCTTTAATAGGACAGAAAATTGGATGGGTGGAGTAGACAGAACAGAATGCTGGGAGAAAGAAGCCGGGTCAGGCAGTCGCCATGATTCTCCCACTCCAGACAGACGCAGGTTAAGATCTTCCCTGGTAAGCCACCTCGTGGTGCTACACAGAATATTAGAAATGGGTTAGATCAATATGTAAGAGCTAGCCAATAAGAGGTTAAAACTAATGGGCCAAGCAGTGTTTAAAAGAATACAGTTTCCGTGTAATTATTTCAGGTAAAGCTAGCCGTGTGGAGCTGGGCGGGAACGCGCCCACCGCAGCTACTACTACAACACAATGTCGCACAAGTCCTTAAACTTTGAGCCTTTTCAGCATTATAATTGGTTAGTTTCTTTGTGGGTTAGTAGTGGTGCATGTCTTTAATCCCAGCACTTGGGAGGCAGAGGCAGGCGGATCTTTGTGAGTTCGAGGTCAGCCTAGTCTACAAGAGCTAGTTCCAGGACAGGTTCCAAAGCTACAGAGAAACCCTGTCTCAAAAAAACAGAAAAAAAAAAGAAAAAAAGAAAGAGGGGCTGGAGAGATGGCTCAGTGGTTAAGAGCACTGGCTACTCTTCCAAAGGTTCTGAGTTTAATTCCCAGCAACCACATTGTGGCTCACAACCATCTGTTATGAGATCTGGCACCCTCCTCTGGCGTGTGGGCTTACATGGAGGCAGAATGTTGTATATATAATAAATAAATAAATCTAAAAAAAAAAAGAAAGAAAAGAAAAGAAAACCTGTCTCAAAAAACAAACAAATAAACAAAAAAAGATGTGATGCCTTGCTGTTTTGAGACAGGTCTCCTATAGCTCACTCAAAGAGCCTCCTGTATTCTCTCCCAAGTCCTAGAATTGCACGCATACACCACCATGCCTGGTTTATGCAGTGCTGGAGATCAAACCCTGAGCCTTGCTCCTGCTAGGTGAGTGCTCTATTTTTGTGGATTAATCTTTTTGTACACTGTGAGGATGTGTTGTTCTCATTGATTTAACATAGAGCTAAGTGGCCAATAGTGAGGCAAGAGGAGGTAGAGACGGGAGAGCCAGACAGAACTCTAGGAGAAAGGGTAGAATTGCCAGAGGAAGCAGGACGTGTGCAAGAGGAGGTAAAAAGTCATGAGCCACGCGGCAGCAAGTAAATTAATAGAAATGGGTTAATTTAAGTTAGAAGAGATAGTTAGAGCCAGGCAGTGGAGCATATGCCTTTAATCCTAGCACTCTGGAAGCAGAGGTAGGTGAGTCTCTGAGTTTGAGGACAGCCAGGATTACACAGAAAAACTGTTTTGAAAAATGAAGAAGAAGAAGGAGAAGGAGACGGAGAAGAAGAAGAAGAGAGCCAGGTATGGTGAAGAGAAGGAGGAGGAGGAAGAAGGAAAAGACAAGATTGGGAGTTCAAAGCCAGCTTTGGCTACATAGTAAATTTGAGGCCAAACTGGGCTATATGAGACTCTGTCTCAGAAAACTAAGCAAAATAAATAAAAAAGACTGGACTCAGGTGGGACTCAGTGGCATATCTTTTGGGGCGGATGGTAAGAGGGGACAGGCAAGAGGGAGGCCCTGAGTTAGAGAGAAGATCCTGTTCAGGCAGAAGTAGTGCTAGACATGATTTCCTACATCAGAGACTGAGGCTGAGCAAGAAGCATCTTCTTCATGGTCACATGTCATAACTACAGCAAAACGAGGACTAGAAACCCATCCTCTGCACCCTAGCCAAAGGGGCCAGTGAGATGGCTCAGTGTATAAAGGTGCTTGCCACCAAGTCTGACGAATTGCTTTTAATCCCGAGATGTGAACTGGTGCCTGCTTGTTTTCCTCTGACCTAGACTTATGCACAAATGAATATAAATATATATGTATATATTACGTATATATACATACACATATACATACATATATTATTGTAAGCAGAATTTCTCTGTGTCTCGGCAGCCACTCCCCAAAACAGAGACTTATTATTAATTATAAATGTTTGGCCAATAGCTCAGGCTGGTTACTGGCTAACTCCTACATTTTAAATTAAGCTACATTTCTCATCTACCCTTTGCTATGTGGTGGTACTTTCTTTCAACATGGCAAGTTCATATTGCTTCTCTCTGCATCTCCCATGACTCCCAAGACTCCGCCCTTCTTCCCAGAGTCCTCTGATTGCTTCTTACCTATATCTCCTGCCTCACTACTGGCCAGTCAGTTCTTTTATTAAGCCAAACAGCGGGCAATTTGGCAAAGACACATCTTCACAGTGTACAAAAGGATTATTCCATAACATTTTAATTAAATTTAAATTAAAAATGAACAGCCAAGCTTTTTCAGTATTGTGCCCAATAATACTAGATGACCTAAGACTTACCAAGTTTTGGGAAAATGCCAGCCACAATCCTAATCATTTTACATTCACTAACTGATTTAATCCTCAAAACATGTGATTGGTACCATTATTTCTCTTTTCATAGATGAGATATCTAAAGCATACATCATCAACAAAATCCACAGTGAGGGTACAGACCTATAATCCCAGATACATGGAGGCCAGAGCAGGAGGATTTCAAGTTCCAGGCTAGCATGGCCAACTTAGTGACAGCCTATCTCAAAAAGTGAAAAAAAGCTGGGTTGGCAAGACGTGGTGGCACACAACTTCAGCCCCAGCATTCTGGAGGCACAGACAGGCAGATCACTGTGAACTCAAGGCCAGCCTGGTCTACACAAAGAGTTCCAGGTCAATCCTGGGCGATGATGTAGTGAGACCCTGTCTCAAAACAAACAAACAGCAGCGGGGCTGCTGGAGAGACTGCACGGCATTTAAGGGCACGGGTTGCCCCTCTAGGGGACCTGGGTTCAATTCCCAGCACCCATACGGTAGCTCACTCACAACTGTCTGTAACTCCAATTCCACGGAATCTGATGCCCTCTTCTCACCCCTGTGGATACTGCACACACACGATGCACAGACATACATGCAGGCAAAACACCCACACACATGCAATTAAAGTAAATTAAGACAGTAAACCAAAAGACTGGGGGCAGCCACGGCAGTACATTCTGGTAGGCAAATACTGAAGAGGGTGGGGTAGGAGGGGCACAAGTTGAAGCCAACCTAGGCTACAACTGGGGCAGGGGATATACCTCAGAGTGTTTGTCCGGCAATGTACAGGCTCAGGAATTACTTATTTATGTAGGGTTAGTTTGTTTGTTTGATTTTTGAGACAGGATTCCTCTATAGAGCCCTGGATGTCCTGGAACTCACGTCTTAAACTAGGCTGGCCTCAAACTCACAGAAACCCAACTGTATCTGCCTTCCAAGTGTGCATTAAAGGTGTGCACCACCATGCCTGGCCTTAAGGCCCTGGGGTTTTTTTGTTTTGTTTTGTTTTGTTTTGTTTTGTTTTTCGAGACAGGGTTTCTCTGTGTCACTTTTTTGCCTGTCCTGAAACCTTCTCTGCAGACCAGGCTGGCCTTGAACTCACAGGTGTATCCCTGGCTGTCCTGGAACTCACTCTGTAGACCAGGCTGGCCTCGAACTCACAGAGATCCACCTGCCTCTACCTCCTGAGTGCTGGGATTAAAGGTGTGCACCATACACTGTCTCAATAAACTAAAGAGAGGGGAGAAGTGGGGGAGTGAGGGAAGAGAAAGCAAAGGGAGGAGAAGAGGGGAGAAGCGAGTGAGCATGCGGCTGAGAGAGCTCGGGCACTTGTGAAGTCGATTCGGGTAGACGAACATTCTCCACATGGGTACAGTTTTAAACTTTTGACCACGCTTTTTCAAAAAAGCCAATCATTTACATTCAAACCATGAAATTGGTCATTTAAAGAACAATAAAAAACAGTTTGCTTACTCACCTAAACAAATTTATTTATTTCCTAATTATGTTATGTCATTTTAGAAAATTTGAAAAATACCAAACTATGGTAAAGAAGGAAATTAGAAGCATCTGTACATCGACCAGCTTCGGCTTCTTCAGAGGATGCCTTTTGTTCTGTCTTCCGATGCTCTTCATGGTCTTCTTCTGTTTGTGGATTTGCTTTACATGGGGTCTTGCTATGTAGCCCTGGCCGTCCTGGAACTAAGTTGAAAATCTGGCCTCAAACTTGGAGGTCTTCCTGCCTCAGCCTGATGCTGGGATTACAGAAATGTGCCACCGCAGTCAGCTCAGCTCTGGGTGTGGTGTGGTGTGTGTGTGTGTGTTTATTTATTTAAATATTTATTTATTATGTATATAATATTCTGTCTGTGTGTATGCCTGCAGGCCAGAAGAGGGCACCAGACTCCATTACAGATGGTTGTGAGCCACCATGTGGTTGCTGGGAATTGAACTCAGGACCTTTGGAAGAGCAGGCAATGCTCTTAACCTCTGAGCCATCTCTCCAGCCCCGTGTTTATTTATTTTCGTGTATGTGCATACATGTGCACGTGGAAGCCTGAAGGGGCCAGAAGAAGGCCTTCGATCCCCTGGCTCTGGAGTCAACAGGCAGTCCTGAATGGCCCAACATGGGAACTGGGAACCAAACACTGGTCTTCTGCAAGAACAGTAAATGGAGCCAGGCAGTGAGGGCACACGCCTAGCACTCAAGAGGCAGAGGCAGGCAGATCTTTGAACAGGCCAGCCTGGTCTACAGAGCAAGTTCCAGGACAGCCAGAGCTGTAACACAGAGAAAACTTGTCTTAAAAAAACAAAACAAAGCAAAACAAAAAAACAAAAAAACAAAACAAAAAAAAAAACCAACCAACCAACCAAATAAACAAACAACAACAAAAAAAAGAGTAACAAGAACCAAGAACTCTGACCCGCTGATCTATTCCTCTAGTCCCTGTATTTGTGTGTGTGTGTCTACCGC